ACATGCCACTGACCAACCAAGTGGAAACAGAGATAAACAAATGGGACTATATTAAACTAAGAAGCTTCTGCACCGCAAAAGATACAGTGACCAGGGCTGGAGCAATAGCACAGCGGGTAGAGCGTTTGCCTTGCACGTGGTCGACCCAGGTTTGATTCCCAGCACCCCATATGGTCCCCTGAGCACTGCCAGGAGTAATTCCTGAGTGCATGAGCCAGTAGTAACCCCTGTGCATCGCTGGGTGTGACCAAAAAGAAAAAAGTTTGTTTTTTCATTTTTTAGTTTAGGGTATCTTGATAATGAAGTGGCACTGTAGCACTGTCCTCCCGTTGTTCATCAACTTGCTCGAGCGGGCCCAGTAACATTGTGAGTCTTGTTACTGATCACAGATCACAGATCATCCTGTTATTCGTCGATTGCCTCAAGCAGGCCCCAGTAACGTCTCCTTCATCCCAGCCCTGAGATTATATTCAAGGCTCTTTAGGAGAATGAGACCCATCATTGTTACTGGTATTTGGCATATTGGGTACGACACAGGGAGTTTGCCAGACTCTGCCGTGTGGGCAGGTTACATTTGGTAGCCTGCCAGTTTGTCAAAGTAGGAATGAGATGTCATAATAAGATGTCGCGCGGCTGACTCTCACTGATAAGTAAAACTGAGAATTTCCTAAAATTTTATTTTTGGTTTTTGGGCCACACCCGGCGGTGCTGGGGTTTAGTCGAGGCTCTGCACTCCAAGATCACTCCTGGCAGGGCTCCAAGAATCATACAGGGTGCGAAGATTGAACCAGGTCACCATGTGCAAAGCAAGTGCCCGACCTGCTGTGCTGTCACCCCGGCCCCAGATCTTGTTTTTTATCTCAAGAATACTAGATGAGGGGCTGGAGAGATAGCACAGCGGGTAGGGCGTTTGCCTTGCACGCAGCCGACCCAGGTTCGATTCCCAGCATCCCGTAGGATCCCCTGAGCACTGCCAGGAGTAATTCCTGAGTGCATGAGCCAGGAGTAACCCCTGAGCATCGCCGGGTGTGACCCAAAAAGCAAAAAAAAAAAAAAGAATACTAGGTGAGACACCTCTTTTCTTGACTTACTGTTCCCATTCTTTCCGCCCCGTATCTAAGGCCTCCTGCCGTAAGTCACTGTGGGCTGTCTGGGAGAGAAGAAAAATCTGGGTGATGCAGCCAGAGCCGTCAGCCAGGCCTGGCACGCACAGCGCAGCCTACTGTGAGTTTGACTTCTCTCATCTTCAACTGAGCGTGAGAAAGCTTCACTTGCCAGGGTGGTTGGTGGTCGAACTTAACTAGGTGGGGCCGGCACACAGCACACAGGCTGTTGGTGGTAGTCTGTGGAAAAGAGCAGAGAGAGACATTCTGAAGCAGACAAATGAAGTGCGGCCCGGTGATGGCTGGCCGCTCAGAGCCCTGCTGATGTCAGCATGTGTCTAAGGGTGAGTCCGGCAGCTGCTCTCACCGCCTACACAGGGCCCTGCCAGCCTGAGAAGGGCACCAGGTGGAGCGACCAAAGAATCCGTGGAGTCAGTGCAGTGATTAGTACATTCCTAATCCCCTGAGCACCCACCATTTCTGCCGGTAACGCTTCCTTATCCTTTCTGGCGCAGGCTGCAGCCTGCTTCACATTTTCTGAGTGCTGTCTTATTTGATTTCGTTTTATTGGTCACACCCAGTGATGCTCAGGAGTTGCTCCTGGCCCTGCACTCGGGAATTACTCCTCAGGAGCCTGGGGGAAACGTGGGTTACTGAGGATCCTGTCCTGGTAGGTGGGGTTCAAGGCAGTTGCCTTATTTCCTTTCGGTAACAGTGTCGCAAACCATTCTGCAAAGAGAGGTGGGGGTGGAGAGAGAGAGAGGGAGAGGGAGAGGGAGGAGGAGAGGAAAAGAGAAGAAATACGGCCCAGTGATAGAGAGCGGATAGGGCGTTTTTGCCTTGTATGCAGCTGACGGATTTGATCCCCGATCCCATCTGGTCCCCTGCGCACTACCAGGAGTAACTCCTGAGTATCACCGGGTGGGACCCAAAAAGCCAAAAATCAAAAAGGAAAAGGAAAAGTGTCTGCCGTAGAGGCAGGAAACTGGGGACTCTGGTGGCACTAAATGTACACTGTTAAAGGGACCCGTGTTGGAACATTGCACGGCTGAGATCTAATCATGAACAACTTTGTAACTCTGTTTCTCACTGTGATTCCATAATTTAAAAAAAAAAATAGAAAAAAAATGTCATTGTCTCCCACCCCCACATCATCTTCTTCAATAGCCTGTTTCCTTGTGTATTTTGGGGTGTCTGACATACCAGGAGGCTGAGGCGAGGTCCAGAATGGTGCCTGGGACAGTGACCACCTGCTGCATCCCAACTGACCGTCTGGCTCAGGGGACACCTGCACTAAACAGCTTCTCCAGCAGGTTTTCCTTGGCTACTCTGATTCCATCCCATTTGGGCTACAGGTGTGGGCCGGGGCCCTCAGAGCTGCCCTGCTGTCCCACTTTACTCCAAATCCAACTAGGTTTTCTTTTCCTTTCTTTCTTTTTTCTTTCTGTTTTTTGGGCCACTCCTGGAGGTACTCAGGGATCACTCCTGGCGGGGCTCAGGAGACCATATGGGATGCCGGGGACTGAACCCAGGTTGGATGCATGCAAGGAAAGCACCCTACCCTCTCTACTACCTCTCCAGCCCCTTCATCTTAGTTTTGTTTGGGGGCTACTCACAGGTCTGTGGTCAATCCTGCTGGTGCTTGGGACCATGTAGTGGCAGGGGCCATACCCAGGCCTCCCACATGCACAGGCTGTGTTCAGCACTTGGCACATCTCTCTGCCCCTCTGCCCAGGTTCTGATTTTTATTGTGTAAAGTAAATGAGATATTCCGGTGCCAGAGAGAGCACACAGTGCCAAGCACGTGGCTTTGACCTGGCACTGCTGGTTTCCTGAGCACAACCAGGAGCAATCCCGACCGGACACAGAGCTGGAAATAGCTCCCGAGTACCTCTGGGTGTGACCCATAAGCAACCAAATACATCCACCTAATGCTGGTTCCTAGGCAGAGAAGGGAGAAGGGGAGAGGAAACAGCTAAAGAAGGAAGGAAAGGCACAGCAAAAGCACAGGTAGGAAGAAAGGAATAAAATGTTTGCGGGTCAGTAGCACTTTCTGCAGTGATGGGAGTGAATCATGAATAAACTTTTTGTCTGCCTTTTGGGCAATACCAGAAATACTTGGGGACCACACATGCTGTCCAGGGTTTGTCTCCAGGCCTCCAGTTTGCTTGATCTTGCCTTTGGGCCATCTCCCCAGCAATGAGGAACTTTGAGGAGAGTCTGGTGTGGTCGAAACACACATGGGTTCAGTATGGACTCGCTTCTCTGGCCTTCACTCACACCTGTAGATTTCTGAGGTCTCTGGGCCCCGCTGAAGCACCGTGCATATGAAGAGATTCCAAAAGAACTTTTTTTGCAGGTGTCTTTGCTCCTGGCTCTATTATATTTATTTCTTCTTCTAAGAGTCTGTTAGTGTCCCCAAAGCAGCCTGTCACTTAAAATAGACTCAAAGACTGGGTTGATACTACTACTATTCTCATTTTGTAGGTAGATGGAAAAATGAAAGAAAGAAATGAAGCGATCTGTCCAAAATGACGTAGTAAATGGCAGGCGTAGGAGTTACTGTGCTTGCTTCCAAAGTCTGGCTAGTAAAGTATAAAAGAAAAATCTTTTTTAGCCAAACAAGCAAAAAAACGTTTTTGTGCAGAACTCAGAATTTCAACTTTTTGTTGTTGTTTTGGGGGCACACCTGGCGATGCCAACGACTGACCAGGGTTGGCTGCGTGCAAAGCAAGCGCCCTCCCCGCTATCCTATCGCTCAGTTCCCAGAATTTCCATTTTTTGTTTTTGGAGGTCATCTCCGTATTAGTTACCATCGGGGCTGCACAACTTCCAAACCAGAAGTGTCGGAGAGTTCCCTTCCCGGCCCACAATCCTTAATCACTTGATCCCCCGTTATTCATCGATTTACTCCAGTAACGTCTCCATTCATCCCTGTTGCGTGCTAGCGTAGCCCAATGGCATCTGTTCATTCTAGGAACATGCAGATCATTCAGGATCTTGACGAAGAAGTCTGACCATCTTGTAGGTGGGCGTCCACGCGATCTTTTGACGTCCCGTGGAATCTAATCAGTAATGGCTCTAGTTCAGCGGTTGTCTGTAAACCTCATTACGTGTCCAGCCCATCTGATTGTTGATGCCTTGGCAAATGAGACAGCGTCCCTGATTCTTGAGCGTTGACGGAGATCAGAACTCCGGATTCTATCTCTCATTTGAGTGAAGTGTGATACTCCAAGCATGGCTCTTTCGATTCCTCTTTGGGAGACGCGAATAACGTTCTCATCCTGTTTGCGTAGGGCCCAGATCTCTGAGGCATATGTTAATGCAGGAAGGACAGTGGAGTCAAAGAGATGTGCTCGGAGCTGGAGGTTCTTTGTCCTTTTAGTTATTTCTTCAATGCTCTTGAAGGCATTCCAAGCCGCTCTCTTCCTCCTGCGCAACTCAGGTGCCAGGTCATTCATCATGTTGATTTCTCGACCTAGGTATGTATAACTGCTGCATTCGGAGATGGTGGTCCCATCCCTGATACGAAGGAACAATCTAGGCGAGTGACTAACTTCCGCTTTCCGCTTTGTTTTCCTTCTCCTCCGAAGGCTTTTCCCGCCTCCGTGCTCAGAGTCCATCTAGGTGACCTCCCTGCTGCTGCCTGGGGCCGCAACTCCCACTGGGAGCTGCAGCACTGGGCCAAGCCCAAGGCGTGTGACAGTTCCCGGCTTCCCCCGGCCGGAACCATTCTCGCGCGGCGGCAGTTGCAGCCGGGGCTCCGACCCGCGAGCCCCGGGGGGTGGGGCCAGGCTAGAGCGGCAGCCGGGCCGGCCAATCGGCGCGGAGTTCCGCCGGGCGGCAGCCAATCAGGCGCGGCTGCGGGCGCCGCGGCGGTCCTCGGCGTGCGGCGGGTCTGCGGCAACATGGGGCTGAGCCCGCGCTGGCGGCGGCTGCGGCTGCCGCGCTTCCAGGCCTGCGGGCTGCGCACGGTGCGTGAGCTGCCGCCCCGGGTGCGGGGGGGCCCCGGGGGGCGGGGGGCGGGCGGTCGCGAGCCCTTGCCGTGTCCCCGCAGGCAGCCGTGCCCGCCGGCCCGCACTGGCTGGCGGAGCGCTCGGGCCTCTTCGAGGCGCTCTGGGCCGCGCAGGGCGAGCGGCTCGCGGGCCTCGCGCGGACGGAGCCGCGCAGGCTGCGGGTGGCCCTGCCCGACGGCCAGCAGGTGCCCGCCGAGGCCTGGCGCACGACCCCCTTGCACGTGGCGCGGCGGATCAGGTGCGCGGGGGGCGGGGCTGCGCGCGGTTGCCCGGGCGACGCGTCCCCGGGGCAGTTCCGGGCGCCCCGGGGGTGGGGGTGGGGGGGGTGGCGGGGGTCCCGCGGGCGCGGCCCGAGCCTGTGCCGGTTCTCCCCCCACCCACCCACCCCCTCCGTCCCCGAAGCGCCGAGCTCGCGGACTCGGCGGTGGCCGCAGAAGTGGACGGTCAGCCCTACGACCTGCAGCGGCCCCTGGAGAAGGACTGTCAGCTCCGCTTCCTGACCTTCGATTCCGCGGAGGGGAAAGCGGTAAGTAGCGTCTCCCGAGCCCGAGGCCCCTGCATGGCCCCTGGCGGCGGGGGAGACCCCTCCAGCTGTCCCCGGCCCAGCAGGGAACGCGCGCACTTGGGGTCTGTTAAGTGGCATCCTAGGAGCTGGAGCACTAGCACGGCGGGTCGGGCGTTTGCCTTGCACGAGCATCCCAGCATCCCATGTGGTCCCCCGAGCTCCACCTGGAGTAATAGCCGAGTGCATGAACCAGGAGTGACCCCTGTGCATCGCCGGGTGTGACCCAAAAAGCAAAAAATATATAAATAAATAAATGGCATCCTAATAAAACTCATCCTAATACTAGATGAGTTCGGTCCCCTCTGCACGCCGTAAGCTATGGTTCCTGGTACAGTCCAATGCAGCGGCCTTGCCTCTCCAGACATCGTCTCCTGGACGGCATCCTGGGGGACGGATGATGAGGTGTCATGCGTTAGGGTTCAGAAAAGTGGAGCCCTTGTATCGCCGCCGGAGGGGAGGGCACTTGCCTTGCACACGGCCAACCCAGGTTCAGTCCTGACACCTCATATGTTTCCCCCTCTCCTCCAGCAGAGTCAGGAGTGATCCCTGAGTGCAGAGCCAGATGTGATGCATGAACGAGTGTAGCGTGAGGCTGGATGCTGTCTAAGCACAGGCTCCCACGTTCAGTCCCTGGCATCATGTCCCCTGAGCACCGCCGGGGACATGATGCCTGTGACACAGATACAGGACTTTGAAAGGATGTGTGCACACCTGTGTGACATCCCAGCAGAGCTGCAAGTAACTCCAGAACACTGCTGGGTGTTACCAAACGTAAATGAAGAGTAGCTTACTCTGAAGTCAAAGGCGATGTCTAGAGGCAGCAAAAGAAGATGGGCTGGAGGCCAGGGATATGGTGCCGTGGTAGAGCTCTGCATAATTCCGGAGCACTCCTGAGCATGGAGCCGGGAGTAGCCCTGAGCACCAACAGGTATATGAGGGGGCAAAATCCTGGATCTGGGGCGATAGACCAGCAAGTAGAGAGCTTGCTTTGCACTTGGCCAACCTGGGTACAATCCTTAACGCCCCGTATATGGTTCCCATCAGAGGTGATACCTGAGCACAGAGCCAGGATTAACCCCTAAGATGCGTGGCTTATGTGTTGCCAGGTGTGACTCAAAATACTAACAAAAAAGACTCCTGACTGGAGCCTAGGCTGAGGCCTCTTCACCTGGAAGCATGTGGGACATCCCTGGCACCCCTCGTTGTGCTGGGTGCAGCCTAGCAGCCTGTGTCGTGATCCCTGAGGCACAGTGATCTCTGCCAGCACTGCCGCCAGCGGGGTGTGAGCACTGTAGCCGATGGGTGCAGCGCTGCCCGTCAGGAGAAGGCCAGTAGCTCAGATACGCAAGGCACTCCCAGAGCTCAACACCAAATCACCAATAACCCCATCCCAGAACGGAGAGACGAACAAACGCTTCTTTGTTGGGGACGGACACACTGGTGTCCCTAGATAGTGGGTCTGAAAAGTTGCTCATTGTCACCTGTTACCGAGGAAATGCCAGTCCACATAGAGAGGCATCATCACACTCCAGTGAGAATGGCGCATTTAAAAGTCTGTAAACAGCCAGAGTTGACAGGGATGTGGTCAAAAAGAAACCCTGCATTTCCCTGTTGGGAGTGTTGAGTCAGTCTGTGGAGAACAGCGTCCATTCAACTCGGCCCTTCACTTCTTGGCTCCTGTCCCCCGACACAGACACAGGACTTTGAAAGGTTGTGTGCACACCTGTGTGACATCAAGTACAATAGCAGGGTATGGAAAGCACCGCCCTGGAGCGGAGGAGTGTGGGGGAGGGGGGGAAGCTGGGGCTGGAACCGTAGCACACCTGGGGGACACCGGCCTTGCACCAGCCCACCCTGGTTCGATCCCCGGCACCGCATACCGTCCCCCGAGCACCGCTAAGTTTCATTTCTGAGCTCAGAGCCAGTAGTAAGCCCTGAGCACACCTACACGTGTCCCCGAACCCAAAGAAAAAGCATGGTACCCCACTGAGGGCAGTTTGCTCTGCTTGGCTGAGCTGGGGAGCATCGGGGTGAGAAGTCAGGGAGGGCCCGTGCTGGGGGAGCACGTCTGATCTGCAGCGAGACTCACCGCGGGCACAGACAGCAGCGGGGACAGGCTCTTGGCTTTGCAGAATTCAGGTGACTAAGCTTTGGGGAGAACATGCTAACTGGGAATGACTGGACAGAAGAGACGGACACGTGGGGGTAGGGACCTTGCAGGGACTCTCTGTCCATCAGACCGGCGGGTATTAGCGTGATCCGGTTTCTGAAACGACCGTTTTCCTCTTTTTGTTTGCACAGGGCTTATTCCTGGCTGCTCTCAGGGATCATTTTTGGCAGGCTCAGGGGATCAGATGGGTGCCTCAGAGCCGCTCTTTTTCTTGAAGAGACGACTTTCGGTTTTGAGCCCCCCGCTTACTCCTGGCCCTGTGCTAAGGGAGCCCTGGGTGAGGCTTGGGGTCCATATAGGGTGCCAGGAGTCAAACCCTGGTCAGCCTCATGCAAGGCAAGGGCCCTCCCCCGTACTGTGGCTCCAGCCCCATTGTTCGTTTCTTCCTGGGCCGCTCCCTGGGTGCTCAGGACTGTAAGGCGCCTGGGAATGAACTCTGCAGAACGTGTGCGCCAGCCCTGAGTCCTCGCCCTGGCCCTCTCCCGCTGATCCTTTCCGGTCTGCGCCCTGGACTAGTTCCCCAGGTGTTGCTTAAGGTTCCTAGCCAAGCCTCACGGGCTGCTCAGGCCCTGGGCTGGAGGAGGAGGTTGTGGACTTGCTCTGTCCCGGGGACAGAGCTCGGCAGTCTCGGGAGGCTGGGCTTGGTCCCATCGAACCCGGGGAGTGCGCTCAGCTTTCTCTCCTGGCACAGGTGTTCTGGCGCTCCAGTGCCCATGTCCTGGGGGCAGCGGCAGAGCGACTGCTGGGGGCCACCCTGTGCCACGGCCCGAGCACAGACTGCGGCTTTTATCATGACTTTTTCCTGGCGGCGGAGCGGTGAGTGGTGTGAGATGGGTGGTCACTTCCAGGTGTGTGTGTCAGTGGGTGTCTAGCGTGCTTTTTTCTCAGCCTTTTTTGATCTGAGAAATCGACTAATTTAAAATCAAATCTAAAGTATTACAAATGATAATAGATTTCCATGTATTGTGAAAGGATTCCCCTGGGTGAGTGTAGGGTCGGAGTGTGTAAGAGGCTAGATAGTACAGGGTTAAGGCACGGGCCTTGCACACGGCCGACCCCAGGCACCCCAAATGGTCTCCTGAGCACTGCACCAGGAGTAGCCTCTTAAGCAGCGGTGTGTGGCTTGAGTTGGCCACTTAGAGCATGCAAGGCAACCAGCTGTTGTCTCTCCAGGACAGTCCGGGGCTCGGAGCTTCCGGATTTGGAGCGGATCTGCCAGGAGCTGGTGGCCGCAGCCCTTCCCTTCCGGAGACTTGAAGCCACCCGGGCTCAACTCCACCAGCTCTTCAAGGTGTGTGGGGCACAGGCCCCCGAGCGCCCCGGAGGTGGTGGGGCGAGGGCGCCCTTCCCGGGCACCTCTGTGGGCTGAAGGCTCATCCGCACACTTTCTTATTCCAGGATAACCCTTTCAAGCTCCAGCTGATCGAGGAGAAGGTGACGGGCCCAACGGCGACAGTTTACGGGTGAGAGAATGAGGGATCGGGAGGTGATCTGTGTTCCAGAGCAGCAGAGTGACTGTCCCCTCTCCTCTCTGTCGGCGGAAGACCCTGAGGGAAAACAGGAACCTCATAGGCTCAGGCCCACTCACACACACACACACACACACACACACACACACACACACACACCCCACCGCAGGCATGAGGTGCTGGGTGATTTTGGGGTGTTGGGTTTGGTTTTGGGGCCACACCCGGGAGTGCGCAGGACTTACTCCTGGCTCCGTGCTCAGAAATCACTGCTGGTGAGGAACAGGGGTCTGTGTGTCGTGCTGGGGATCAAATCTGGATTGACCTCCCGCAAGGCAGATGCACTCCCCGCTATGCTATTGCTCCAGCCTCAGTTTTTTCTCTCTTTTGGGCCACACTCCTGGTAGTGCTTGGGGACAGGAGTGAATGGGGACTGAGAGACCATATGGGGTGCCAGGGATCGAACCCAGCTCAGCTGCATGCCAGGCGAGTGCCTCCCCACTGTGCTATTGTTCTGGCGCCGTGTTGCTGATCCTTGTCGGGACTCGCGGGCGCGGGGCTCACTCTTCACCTCTTCCTCCAGGTGCGGGATGCTGGTTGATCTTTGTCGGGGCCCCAACCTTCGGCACACTGCGCAGATCGGAGGTCTGAGGCTGCTTGCGGTCAGTGGTGACCCTCTGTCCCCGCCTTTCCTCTGCCTGTGCAGCTAAGGAGGGAAAGGATAGTTCCCACCTTCCAGAAACGTCCACTGTGCTGTCAGAGCCTGAAAGCCACCTGACCTAGGACAACCAGCCCCCCCAGCCTGCCATTCGGGCTGGGGAAGGTGGGCGAGGGCCCAGGGCTTCCATCCATCTTGCTCGTTGCCCGTCTTTAAATGGAACCTGTCCAGTTGTCTGACTCAGAAATATTTTTGGCTCGGGGCTGGAACAATAGCGCAACGGGTAGGGCATTTGCCTTGCACGTAGCTGACCCGGGTTCGATTCCCAGCATCCCATAGGGTCCCCCGAGCACCACCAGGAGTAATTCCTGAGTGCATGAGCCAGGAGTAACCCCTGTGCATCGCCGGGTGTGACCCAAAAAAAGCAAAAAAAAAAAAGATTTTTGGCTCAGTATTTTTCAGACATTCTGTCAGTGTGGCTCATACGGCATCCTGGCACATAGATTTTCATCTATTCTGTCAGTCTGTACGTTGTGGGCAGGGTGTTGGGCCATACCCAGCTGTATTCAGGGCTTTCTCCTGCTTCTGAGCTCAGGGGTCACTCCTGACGGGACTCGGGATCGTGTGTGGTTCCAGGGAGTGACCGGCAGTGCTCAGTGCCTTGCCTCCAGGCTAGCTCACCTGCCCTGCCTTTAAAACTTACTCTGGAAAAGCTGTTCATTCCCCCTGGGTCTGTGAGTCTCATGTGAGGTGAAACAAACACAGGAGAAAGCGTGAGGAGAGTTGGCGTGGGGGGCTACTGCCTGCAGAGATGGGGCTCGGGGCAAGGGGCGATAGGTGGGAGAGAGCTGATGGTGCCCCCGGGTTTCAGGAGGGAGCTGTGGGGCGGGGAGGGGCACGGCCAGCTCAGCTGAGGAGACTCGGCTGGGCCGGGCCCTGAAAGGGGAGCCCCGAGGGCCTCCTGCCTGAGTCCTCGTTTCTGGCACAGAACTCCGCATCCCAGTGGCGGTCCTCGGATGCCGCCACTCCCCTGCAGAGAGTGTCCGGGATCTCCTTCCCCACTGCCGAGGCGCTGAGGGCCTGGGAGGAAGAGCGGGAGAAGGCCCAGCTCCGGGACCACCGGCGCATAGGGAAGGTAGGGCGGGGTGGGGCAGGGGAGTCTGGGCGGGCAGGGGTGGCCGGGGTGTGACCGCGCCGTTCCCCCAGGAACAGGAGCTCTTCTTCTTCCACGAACTCAGCCCCGGCAGCTGCTTCTTCCTACCTCGAGGGACCAGAGTGTACAATGCGCTGGTGGCCTTCATCCGGGTATGAGGGTGGGGGCCTGGCCAGAAAGACCCGAGGGGCTGCAATAGCACAGCGGGGAGGGCGTTCCATTCCCAGCATCCCATGGTGTCCCCCGAGCACCAGCAGGAGCAGTTCCTGAGTGCAAAGCCAAAAGTAACCCCTAAGCCTCGCCAGGCGTAAACCCCTCCCCCCCCCAAAAAAATATATATCTATTTTTTCCGAAGCACTGGTCACCTGCATGGAAATGTGGGCTCCAGGGGCATCAGGAGGTTGCCGCTGGCCCCTCCCGCAGCCACCCTGCACAACCCCGTGTCCGCTTTGCAGGCTGAGTATGCCCGCCGTGGCTTCTCGGAGGTGAAGACCCCCATGCTCTTCTCCACGAAGCTCTGGGAAGTGTCGGGGCACTGGGCACATTACCAGCAGGACATGTTCGCCCTGCAGCCCCCCAGCACGCAGGGCGCCCCCCCAGACACTCTGGCCCTCAAGCCCATGAACTGCCCGGCACACTGGTGAGCGGCGTGGGGGCTGGGGGCTGCCTAGGGGGACGCGGGGAGTGGGAGGTGCGGGGCTGACTCGCTCCGCTCCGTCGGGTCCCACGCGGCAAGGGAACCCGGCCGCCGGTTCCCAGCCTGGCCCCGCGGAGCTGGAGTGACAGGCCTGGGCAGCCTTCCTGCAGCCCTGACCCCTCGCACCCCAACCTCAGCCTGATGTTCGCCCACCGGCCCAGATCCTGGCGGGACCTGCCCCTGCGGCTGGCGGACTTCGGGGTCCTGCACCGGGCAGAGGCGTCGGGGGGCCTGGGGGGCCTGACGCGGCTTCGCTGCTTCCAGCAGGACGATGCCCACATCTTCTGTGCTCCCGAGCAGGTGCTCCCCGGACTGCGGCCTCCCCTGAGTACTCCCCAATTCTGCGGGCGCCAGGTGGTATCGCCCCAGGGCGGCACTGGCACTCAGCTCCCCACTCTCCCTGCAGCTGGAAGCAGAGATCCGAGGGTGTCTGGATTTCCTCCGTTCCGTCTACATGGTCCTGGGCTTCTCCTTCCGTCTGGCACTCTCCACCCGGCCGGCCAATTTCCTAGGGGACCCCGGCTTGTGGGAGCAGGCAGAGCAGGTGGGCGGGGGCGGGGTCGGGGTCGGGGAGGGACCCTTGGTGGGCCCCGTAGCGCCCCAGGAGACCAGCCCTCTCTTCTCCCTGCACAGGTCCTTCAGCAGGCCCTGGAGGAGTTCGGGGAGCCCTGGACCCTCAACCCCGGGGACGGGGCCTTCTATGGGCCCAAGGTGAGTGGTTGGCCGGGGAGGGGGAGTGCTCCATTTACTCTAGTGAAGAGGTGACAGAGTCGAAGGGATTGTGGGGTGACCCAAGCACCCTCCGGCAGTGCCTGGCCCAGTGGTGCAGGAGTGCCCGACAGCCGCGCTGTCTCCCTGGCCCCTGAAGGTGCGATTCAGCCCTGGCTCACCACAGGGGGGCTGGAACCGCTCCCTGCAGGGGCGGAGAGCGTGGGGCGGGTGGGCGGTGACTCTAGGAAGGCCGCTCCAGAAGTTGGTTTGGGCGCCGGCCATGTGTGGGGTCCAGTTTGTTTGTTCTGGGGAGGGCTGGACCGCACCTGGCTGGAGGCGCGGCCCGCGGGGTGTGGGGTGAGGAAAGGGCCGTGTCCGCACTTGAGGATCACGGGGCGAGTGAGGAGAGCTGGAAGCGCCGTCCCAACGGGCAGGGGCTGCTCTCCCCAGAGTGGGGTGCTGGGGTCCAGCTGACGAGGCAGCACTTCCGGTCCCCTCCTCCTTTCCAGATCGATGTCCACCTCCACGACGCCCTGGGCCGGCCTCACCAGTGCGGGACGATCCAGCTGGACTTCCAGCTGCCCCTGAGATTTGACCTGCAGTATACGGGGTATAGCCCCCCCAGCCCTGCACAGCCCCTCCCCAGACGTGACCCCAGTGCCTCAGTCTGACCCTCTGTCTGCTCTACCCGCAAAAGGCAAACGGGGGCGCCGGAGCGTCCAGTCCTCATCCACCGCGCAGTGCTGGGCTCTGTGGAGAGGATGCTGGCCGTGCTGGCCGAGAGCTGCGCGGGCAGATGGTGAGCCGGGCCCGACCCTCTTGCCTCTGGCCACCATCTGGCCGGTCCAACAGGCCTTCCCCTGCCCCGCCCCCACTGCCGCAGCCTCTGCTCCAGCACTCAGCTCCTTCTCTGCTCCACAGGCCTCTGTGGCTGTCCCCCCTGCAGGTCGTGGTCATTCCTGTGGGACCCGAGCAGGAGGAATATGGCAGAGAGGTGAGGCCGAGGAGGCCCGGGTCCAGGCAGGACGGGGGGGCCACAGCAGGGACCCCCAGACTGGGCCTTTGTGCTGGGAACAGCCCCCGAGAAGAGACTTCTCTGCCCTGTGGAGAAGTGGAGAGATCAGAGGCCGGGCACCCGGGGAGCCCGTGCTGAGGGAGGCTGTGGCTGGTCGTGGGGGGCAGGGAAGCCCCGTGGCTGGAGGAGGCAAGATCAGCGGGTTGGGGGGGCGTGTGGGGGAACTCTTGGTGCCTCAGCTTCTGTCACTCAGTTCCTGTCACCTGACATCGGCCCAGGTCCAGCAGAGCCTGAAAGCAGCGGGGCTGGTCGCTGACCTGGATGCTGACCCGGGCCTGACCCTCGGCCGACGGGTGCGCCGGGCCCAGCTGGCCCAGTACAATTTTCAGTTTGGTGAGTGACAGGGACCCTCAGAGCCCACGCCCCGCCACCCTCCCTGCGCCTTCCCCTGTCACGCCCGCTCAGTGAAGTCACCCGCATACTTGGGATGATTGGGGCTCATACCTGGGCTGGGCCAGAGCTAGGAATCAGGATGCCGTCTGGGTCACCTGGGTTGCCACAGCTGCCACCACGCTGACCCGGAGAACAGTTTTCTTCCCACTCCACCCCCTTAAAAGTCCAGGGACGGGGAGAGAAAGGGATTGAAGGGTTAATGAGGGTGAGCTTATGTGGTGCTCGGAGCCATCCCTGCGGGCTTGGCAGAGGTGTTACCCTGAGGGCTCAGAGCAGGCGACCTGTCCTCCGTTTCCTGACCTCCACCCCCAAATGCTTGCATGGGGCTTTCCTCTCCTGCCGGCCCCTCTGTTCGGTCTGTTTGTCTGTGTCTAGCTGGCCCCCTTGTCTCTGCCTGACGTGATAAGGTCTGGAGGAGAATATCTAGAACATTCCTTATCTCAGGATGAGAACTGGGGAGCAGGAGGCAGCTAAGAATAGCCTTTCCCTGAGCTGGGTCCTTCCTAAAGACTGAGGTCTTGGGCCAGAAACAGGACAGCGGGGAGGGTGCTGGCCTTGTGCACTGCTCACCCGGATCAATCCCTGGCACCCCTTATGGGCCTCGACCTTCCCCGGCCCAGGAGCGATCCCTGAGCATTGGCCTAGAAAAGAAGGGCTGGCTCACCCCGATTCAACCCCCAGCCCCCCATCTGGCCCCCCGATCACAGCCAGGAGTGATTCCAGAGTGCAGGAGTAAGCCCTGAGCAACACTAGGTGTGACCCCAAAACAAAACGAAAAAGATTTAGGTGTCTGGGGCCAGGCTGGAGCCAGGGTGGCAGAGGGCCCAGCACTGCGTCATAGGGGTGAGAATCTGGGTTCCATCCCTGGCACCACCAAAAATAATCCGTTTCTGCAAAGCCTTGGCGTGAGCTAGCTTGCGAGGGCGAGGTGGCCCTGACCGCGGGCCCTGCCCCTCCCGCCCCCCGCCCGCAGTGGTCGGCGCGAAGGAGCAGGCCCACGGGACAGTGAACATCCGCACCCGGGACAACCGCCGGCTGGGGGAGCGCGAGCTGGCCGCGGCACAGCAGCGGCTGCTGGAGCTGCAGGCCTCCAGGGTCCCCGACGCCGAGGACGTCTTCTGAGCCTGCAGGCAGGACGGGAAGGCTGCAGAGGCGCCCGCCCAGCTGCCCCTGCGCCCAGCCCTGCCTGGGGGAGAGAGTGCAATCAGCTGTTTGGGAAGGAAGTGGAAAGGAACAATAAACTTGGAGCTACTGGGCACGTGTCTTCATTTCTCACCGGGAAGGGGTTGGCAGCTGAACGGGGTTCCCTCCCTGCCTCTGCTCTCGACCCCTAGAGTTGGGGACAGGCAGGGGGGGCTGCTGGGAGCTGCCCCCCGCCCCGCCCTCCAGAGGTCCTCCCCGCCAAAGGCAGCCCACCAGGGAGACTGAGGCCGGGCGGGCGAGCTGTCAGGCACCCGCGGGTGGGGAATGCCAGGCCCCACTGCTCTCCCGGGCTGGGGGAGTGGCCGCGGGGAGGAGCCGGCCTGAGTCACGCAGGAAGCCGAGGGGGGCGGGAGGTGCCGGATAAAAGGCGGAGCGGAGTTGCCGCCAGTGGCTCGGCAGCCCCGGAGCCACCTGGACCCTCACCGGCCTCCCGTCCCGCGAGCAGCCTCCTGCCATGGGCCCTGCCTCCGCCGCAGCCTGGCTCGCGGCCTGCTTGGCTGTGGCTTCTGCGGCCTCTCAGGGTGGTGAGTCTGGGCAGGAGCCCTCGGGAAGGCCCCAGCTGTGGCAGGTGGCTGGTCGCTGGGCACTCGTGGGGTCCCCGCCCCACCGCTGAGGGGGCTCCTGGACGTCGGTGCTGAAATCCCCAAGTGGGGACCCAGTGCCCTGGGTGGCTGGGAAAGCCCTCCCTGGGGACCACGGCAGAGGTGGTCTCTCTGGGCCTCTGAGGCAGGGGAGAGGGGGTCCAGGCTGTCCTCACCTGGGAAGCCCTGACTTCAGGGAGGGGACATGGGGCTGTGACCCCAGGCCCTGTAACCTCCTCTGCCGGGCACACTCTCCCATGCTGCGGGCGACTTGTCACTCCCCTCTGTCCGGGGCGCGGCTTGGCCATGTCCCCTCCAGCCTGGTCTGTGAATGTCCACGGCCTGCATGTCCTTCCCACTGCCTGACTGCCCCAATCCCGGGGAGGTAGAGGCTAAGGGACCCCCCACTGGGCAACTCAGGGGCCCAGTGATGGGAGGGTGCACAGCCCCTCCAGCAGACGGGAGACATCGGAGGGCGCTGGCTCTCCAGAGCGGGTGGGGGGGCCGCATAAGGCAAGAGCGCCAGGGCTGCTGGCACCCCACCCTCCCATTTTCTACACTCTGACTCACCAATCCCACACTCTGGGGCAGGAGGGATTCCCCCAAATCCAGCCCTGATTTGGCCTTCCTCCCTCAGACACCCCACCTCCCAGGAAGAAGCAAGTGGGACCAGAGCACCTCCCCCCATTCCTTCAGGAAGGTGAGTCTGGGGGGGAGTCCAGGCTGGGGGGCCCCGGGAGAACCATCAACCCTGAGCATCCCCCGTTTCACCTCTAGTTGGCTATGCAGCGCCCCCTGCACCCCCTTTGACCCGATTCTCCTCCATGGCTGACCTGGCAGTCTATGAGGATGGGCCTGGCTTCGAGGAACAGACTGAAGGTGAGCCCCCTGCACAACCCCAGGGCCCCCAGGCCGTCCCTGTGCGGGGGAGGCAGCCTTACTTACACCCATCTCTGTAGTGCAGCCCCGCTTACAGGAAGGCCCCCCACTGCAGGAGGAGGAGCTGCCCCCCGCCCAGCTCCCCAAGGACAGGAAAGGTGGGTGCGGCTGGTCTCACCTTGGCCCAGGGGTGCTGCTGGCACGGCTCACCCCAGCCTCCATGCTTCCTGTCTTGCAGAGAATATCTCTGCCCCTTGGGAAGCCGTCCCCCAAGAAGAAGAGCGGGGGCCCATGGAGCAGAAGGAGGGTAAGAGCATGGGGCGCCCCCTCCCCCTGCTCCCCAGCTGGGCCGAGGAAACAGTATCATCCCGTCACAGTCACGGTTTATTCCCAGGGTTGGGGCCTCCCCTTCCACGACTCGCCCAGCCCTCTTTTGCTCTTTGGACAGTCCTGATTTGGTTTTATTTTGGGTCAGACCCAGTTGTGTTCAGGTTCTGCACTCAGGTACCACTTAGGGGGCCCTCTGAGGTCCAGGGCTCAAACCCTGGTCAGCCACGTGCAAAGCCAATGCCCTGCCTTGTGCCCGTGCTTCAGCCTGGGCCAGTCCTGATTTGATACGCAGATGTTTGTCCCCGCTTCTCCCGAGTTCCTCTGGGCTGTGGGCCCTGGTCCTGGCCCTGCTGACCATGTGTCCCCTGCCACCCGCAGAAGAGCCGCCGTTCCCAGACCAGAAGGAGATGGACTTTCCCTCCAGGCAGCCGCAGCAAGAGGGTGAGCTGGACCGGGCGAGGCCGCAGGAGGGCAGCGCCTCTGGGTCAGGGTCTTCCCAGCTCGGACCTCGGGCTGTCTCCCAGCCGTGCTCGGGGCACGGAGACGAACCTTCCTCCTGGCTCTCCTTCTCTGCTTCGTCAGCTGCTGGTGGGGGCACACACTCACTTCTTTTTACGTTTTGTGTGTTGGGTTTCGTGCCACACCCGGCAACGCTCAGGGCTTACTCCTGGCTCTGTGCTCAGGGATCACTCGTGAAAGGTTCAGGAGACCCTGTCGGGTGCCAGGGATCAAGCCTGGGTTGGCCTTGTGCCAGGCAGACCCCCTGCCAGGGCACTGTCACTGCAGCCCCCAGAGCCGCTTTCTGCCCTTTCAGGCCACCTGACCCCTCACATGTCCCTTCCTCCGTCCTGTCCCCCTCTAGCAAGGCCAGTGCCCTCCTTGGACCAGGGCCATCCACAGCCCGAGACCTGGGGTGCCCCCTCCCGCTGTCCTCACGGCCGGTCCCGCGGGGGCTTGGGCCACCGACTGGACGGCTTCCCCCCCGGCCGGCCCTCGCGGGAGAACCTGGAGCGGATCTGCCTGCCCACCCGGCAGCACGTGGTGTACGGGCCCTGGAACCTGCCGCAGACCGGCTACTCCCACCTCACGCGCCAGGGGGAGACCCTCAACCTGCTGGAGACGGGCTATTCCCGCTGCTGCCGCTGCAACAACCACGTGAACCGCCTGGACTGCGCCGAGTTCGTGGTAAGGGTCCCGGGGGGCTCTTGGCGCCGGGGCTGTGGGCCTGTGCCGGACGCCGCGCTGGGTGCGCGGGGCCGCATCTGACGCCACCCTCTCGCTCTAGTGGGAGAACGCACTGGGCCAGTTCTGTGAGGCCGAGCTCTCGGTCAAGACCCGGCCCCACAAGTGCTGCCTGAAGCAGGGGGAGGCCCGGCTGTCCTGCTTCCAGGCGGCGGCCGACAGGCCCCACTACCAGCCCCGCGCCTACCCTGGCCAGCAGCCAGGCATCTCCGTGGGCCCAGACCTGCCCTTCCCCCCCGGGCTGCCCACACCGGACAATGTCAAGAACATCTGCCGGTTCCGACGCCTGTGCGCGCTGCCACGCCACCTGCCCCCGACCGACCCCATGCTGCGGCGGCTGCAGGCCCTGGGTCAGCTGGAGGGCGCGTTCAAGCACTGCTGCCACCAGGGGGGCAACGTCACCTGCGCCCGCAACGCCGTAAGTGGGCGCGTGTGCCCGCCGCCTGCCAGCCGTGCTACTGCCATGTCTGCCTGTCCGTCTGCTTTGTGACTGTCGTCCATCCTGTGTGTCCATCGGCGGGTCTGTTCAGCTTGAGCCGCGTCCTGCAAGCCCCGCCTCGTCAACCCACACACGCCTGCTCACCGTCCGCCCTGTCTGCCTGCTGGCCACCCCATCAGCCCATCGACCACCTGCCTGCTCGCCGTCCACCCTGTGTGTCCACCGTCCGCCCTGTCTGCCTGCGACGTCCTGTCTGCCCACCCCACACCACCCCTGCACCGGGCCTCGGGGCCCTGTGCGCCCAGGACTGCTCCCTGCCAGCTCTGCAGCTCACACACCTGCGTCCTCCTTGCTCCCACAGGCCGCGACCCCCCCGCCTCTCCCCGCCCTCTGACACCCCTTCTCTGGCCCACAGTGGGAAGACAGCCTGGACAGCTACTGTGACCGGGAGCAGTCCGTGAAGACCCACCACCACTCGTGCTGCCAGTTCCCGCCGAGCCCGGCCCGTGACGAGTGCTTCGCCCGAAGGGCCCCGTACCCCAACTACGACCGGGACATCCTGACGGTCGACCTCAGCCACATCACCCCCAACCTCATGGATCATCTCTGTGGCAACCAGAGGGTCCTCAGCAAGCAGTGAGTCCTGCCCGTGTCCCCGTGCGTGGGCCCTGGTGGGGTCTGGCGCCCCCGTCAGCACTGGGCGAGCGTGGAGGCCCTGACCGCTGACTTTCTCGCCACGCAGCAAGCAGATTCCCGGGTTGATCCAGAACATCACGGACCGCTGCTGCCAGGTGCCGTTCCCCGAGCAGACCTGCTGTGCTGAGGACGAGGTGAGGCGGGGTCTGGAGGCCCGTCTGGGGGGCCGCCGGCGACGGGGCTGGCCACAGGGGAGGTTCTGGGTTCGAGGTCGGAGGCTTTGCCTGGCTCACCCGCTCCACTTTCCTGGCATGTCCTGGTGTTCGCGTCTGTCTGCACAGTCTCTGGTGGAGCTCAGAGAGTGCCGAGAAGCGGAGGCACAGGACCCAAGCGCCCCCGCGGCCTCCTGCCCCCTGACCTCGGGCCCCTCTCCCCCCTTCCTTCCTTAGAAGTCCACCTTCATCGAGGAGCTCTGTGGGCCCAGGAGGAACTTCTGGAGGGACCCCGCCCTCTGCTGTGACCTGCACTCCGCGGACGAGCAGACCAACTGCTTCAACGTCTACTACCTGCGGAACGTGGCCGTGGTGAACGGGGACATCGGGCTGGGGGAGCCCAGCCCCACGGCGGACGCAGACACCCGGCCCACCTCCGAGCCCGAGCGCAGCGGAGAGTGAGTCAGCCCA